GACCACAGGCGATGCTGGCCACTATTCAATTGCAATATTGGCCGATAAAAGGTAGAAACACAGCAAAGAAAGTAGTGCACAATTGCATTAAATGTTTTAAAATAAAACCGACAATTTTGAAACCAATAATGGGTAATCTTCCCAAGTACAGAGTAGACCAGCCCAGTCGGTGTTTTGAGGCATGCGGAGTGGATTATGCCGGTCCGGTGTCGATAAAATCTAGCCATAGAAGAAATGCAGCCATCAGTAAGGCATATATATGCATTTTTATTTGTTTGGCTACCAAAGCCGTGCATATTGAATTAGTATACGATTTGACCACAGGTGGGTTTATAGCGGCATTGAAACGGTTTATTTCACGCCGTGGAATATGTCTACATATGTATTCGGACAACGCCACAAACTTTGTTGGCGCTAATAAAAAACTGTCGGAGTTGACAGCGATGTGGAATTCCAAAGAACACAAAGAAAAAGTACAATCATTTTTTAATGAGTTGTCCATAACATGGCATTTTATTCCACCACGGGCTCCGCATTTTGGAGGCCTCTGGGAGGCCGCTGTGAAGTCAGTTAAGCATCATTTAAATAGGACAGTCGCCGCCACCAGGCTTACGTATGACGAGATGTATACCGTGCTTGTACAAATTGAGGCGTGCTTAAATTCACGCCCGCTCGTACCATTATCTAATGATCCGAATGACCTGGCTATTTTAACCCCCGCGCATTTCTTAATAGGTAGTTCACTTGTGGCTTTACCCCAGCCCGATCAAACGCATAAAAAAGAAAACTGTTTATCACGGTGGGAAAGAGTTCAAAAAATCACCCAAAGCATATGGAAAATGTGGAGTATGGAATACTTGAATCAACTTCAGATAAGGGCTAAGTGGCATAGATTGGATAAGGCCGAGATCAGGTTGGGAACTATGGTCTTACTAAAAGAAACAGGTGTGCCCCCACTCCATTGGCTCATGGGACGTGTCGTATCAGTACACCCAGGTCGGGATGGAGTTACTAGAGTCGTGGAGGTCAACACTCGAGGCGGTATAAAGAAGAGGGCTATACGATTGGTGTGCCCGCTCCCTGGGCAAAACCAAAATGAGAGTGAAAAAAAAAA